ACTCACCTTACGATTTCTTAGTATCAGTCTTCTCAAGATTAGACCAACGCCAACGGCGATCGGAAAGACGACCAGCGTCGCCAGGATGTAGCTGACCACGGCGACCGTCTCCTGGGATGCAATGGCGTCCCCGTCGTGTCTCTTCGATATCACTTCACTGATGTTCACCGACTCCCTCGGACTGACCGATATCAATTCATTCTCGAAGAACGTCCTGTTCAGTTCGCTTGGATACACCGAAGTGTTGTACTCCGGCAGGATCATGTGGTGATATGTAGGCTTGTGTCTCGTTCGATTGTTGCCACTTCCGTTCGTGGATCCTCTGCCTGGACCCGTCGGTGGAACCTGCGTGGTCGTCTCACGGCTTTCCTCCTGTTTGTTATTATCCTTTCTCGTAGTTTCTGGGACACGGGTTGAATTCGTTTCGCTCGTAGCACTCTTCGTAGTGGTAACCGTGTCGTTGGTTTTCTCGGTCGTTCTCGCAGTGCCCGGTTGCCTCGTGCTCGCCGGAAGCTCTGCTCGTCGTTCCGTGCCGCGGGAGAACGAGCTCGTCGGACCGGTGTTGTTGAAAATGTCCGAGGTGTTGTACAAATGCATTATGGGCAGCACGTCGTCTTTGTCGGACGACGTGCCCTGTGATTTGTCAGACAGGTTTCGACCTCTGACTTCCGGTGACCTTTCACCTGGCACTCGTTTTCCAGATCCTGTCGAGCCACTGGTGGAAGTTTCCGATTCAACTGCCCACAAAGTCGAAAATCGGTCAGGTGTCGCTTCCGAACTCGGTATTTTCGAGTCAGAGGTCGTACTTTGGCTTTCCGGAATGGTAGAGATTTCTATTCGAACCGTACTCGTCGACGCAGTCAATGTTGGAGCTTCCGTCGTTGCGATCGAAACCGTCGCGCCAGTTGTCGTGGTCGTGGTCGTGGTCGTGGTTGTTGTCGCGTCCTTTGATCTGTACATTTTCTGAATCTCCGACGGGTCTAGGTTAGACGTTTTCGACGTCTGTTTGTACGTATCGGTGGTTCTGATATCGACGGACTCCATGGTCAACTTCATGGTGAAAGTTTCCTTCTCGAGCGGCAGCCGAGTGGTTTCCGCGATTATTCTGGGTGTAACCGGAAAAACTGGCGCCGACATCGGCGTGGTGCTCGTTTCTTTGGACACGATCGTTTCGTCGGGCGTCGCGGTCACTGTCACGGTCGGCGAGCCACTTCCGTTCTCGGTAGCATTATCCGCACCACTCGCGGCATTCCCATTGCTCGCGGGAACACTGTCGTTTTCACTTCCGAACCCGGTATAAACGTTCTCGTCTTTGGTATAAACGTTCGTATTTCCATTCAACGGAGTGACCACTTCCGTCAGGTTACCCGCATCCTCCTCCGTGGCATTCACAGGTGTCTGAGGAGTAACGGACTCGATCGTTTCCTCCACGGACGGAGCGAACGAGATTGTGACAGGCGAGACTCTCTGCTGCATCGTGACGCTATCCGCTGTCATAGTCTCCGAAACTGTATCCTCTGTCGATGTTCGATTCGCGTCAACTCTCGTTAGCCGAAATCCTCGATCATCCATCGCATCCTCTACATCCTTCTTCTCCGAATTCCCTTTATCGCCAGTTGAACCAAACTCAGACCCGTTGCTCGCCTTAATCAAACTCTCCTCTATGCTGATCTTGCTCGTCCCTTTGACCCTTCTGCTCGCAGAAGACACGGTCTGTCCATTTGTCAACCTTCGTCGCTTGCCAATTACCGATGCAGCTTGCTCCTCCTCGGGGCTCGTTCCAATTCGTTGATTGAGCACCGCGCTGGCCGATTTCCTGAGGAACCTCCTGTCCCCGCTGAAACCTTCCAAGTCCGTGTTCCTGACTTTAGTGTGATTCCAGCGGACGGTGCCTCGTTGGTGGCTCGTTTCCGTTGGCTTCGTTGACCTCGGCCCAGTCTTGTTGTTTACGCCGGTCAGCTGCACCAGCGACGTTCTGTTGACCGCACGTTGTTGCTGCGACTGCTGCGTCGCGGCTGCAACCACTTTCTTCTGTCGTTCCCCCACCAGGTGAACAGTGGACGCTCCACCGGCTGCGGCTGGTTCGACGGTCGTGCCGGCACTGAGTTCCGCCGGCGCTCGGCCAGCCTCTATACCACTACCGGCACGAGGAAGCAGAAGAGACGACGGCGGCGGTGGCTGACGCCGCTGCGCTGATCCGGTCGTTATCTCGGTCGTACCGGTGCCCCGCTCTGGACCTCCTTGTTCCTCTCTGCTTAACCCAGGTCCGGTGTAGTTGCGCAATAGCCGCGTCACGTTCGTTATCGTGTAAGCGTACACGTGCTGCTGCTGCTGTTGCTGCTGCTGCTGTTGTTGTTGTTGTTCCTGCCGTTGAAGTCGATGTGGATCCTGATTCTCTTCGTGCTCCGCCTGACTGCCCTCTTCGAGTTGCTGCTGCTTCTGTTCCCGATGTCGAGGCTTGGACCGAGCTAACACCGACTCGCCAGCGAACGCGCTCGTGGACGAAATCGTGGACGCGTCGGTGGATGCACTCGTGGACGGGATCGTCGATGTACTCGTGCTCGATGGAGTGGGAACATCGCCGGAAGCGACGCCGCGAACTCGTTCCTCCGTGAGATCGACCGGTTTAACGGTATACTTGTCCGCAACGTCCGCACCGATCGCGAGACTCTCCTCCAAACTGCCCTCGGTTACGATGATCCGCAGGGTGGACGTTTCAGGGGACGTCCAAGCGATTCGAAACGGCTCGGTGGTCGGCCGACCGGTCTTGTCTCTGGAAGTCGAAATTTCGATGTTGTTACTCTCGCGGGAATTGGTCTCCAGCGCCTGGTCTGCCTGTGCTTCCTCCGCCTTCCAGACGTCCGGATGATCGTTCGCGTCGATCCTTCGTATCTTCTTCTCCGTTTGCTCTCCGTACATCTCCTCGTGCATAAACTCCGAGGGATTCTCATGCACCACGAGCGTCGATTCGTTCTCGGCGCTGTCGTTCTTCCTTCTTCGCATGTAGCCCTTCGACGTCCTCGCATTCTCCAGCCGGTTCAACGTCGTCGAGACGGTCGCGGGCTCGTTGGCATCCACGGGACGCTCTTTCATGCCGATTTCACTTTCGGCGTGCTCGCGCACGTTCGCGGAAACAGGCTGCGCGTACGGTATCTGGGTCGAGTCGGTCGCATTCCTCGTTTCAGCGGCCACGTGGGTAGCGGCACTTCCTCTCTCGCGCCGCAGCTGGTCCACCGTGTCAGCGTGAGCGAACGGGTTATCGTCGCGAAATTTATCCACAGTGTCTACGGCTCTAACCTCCGTGGTGTTGTTCCCCGTCTCCTTTGCTGCGATCACGTTCGTCGAGACGATCGTTCCCTCTGTGGTTGGTCTGCTCTTCCTGTAGTAAACACCGTTTTCCGGGCTTCGAAACGCGTTCTTGATCTTTGAAACCTTGTTCTTCTCAACAGTCTGCCTTTCCACGGCTATGTTCATCTCTTCGTTGATGATCTCCTCCAACCTGGGCACCGGCACCAGCGTCGTGGCGCTGAATCTCTTCATCGAGTACCGTCTTCGGGAACTGGGCGCGGTTGGCACTGTCGGCGTAGATTCCACCGAGTTGTTCCCGGTCGTGTTCTGCGTTTCCGGTTGGATCTTCTGGCCGAAGTACAGAAACTGCGACATATCTTCGATGGGTATGTTGCTTTCCACCGGCCTGAAATAATTATACAGAGATTCCGGCATGGAAACGATGTTCTTCCTGCGAACATCAGTGTCGGGAGCTTTCTGACTGCTCACTGCTGACGGAGAGGTCGTCGAAGAAACGTTCTTATGACCGACCAAATGATCACTTTTTTCCCCGTTACTGGAAACTGGTTTACTTTCGACAGTGGATACAGCGAGAGTTTCGTTGCTCGGTTTCGTCGAACTTTGCTCGGTCGTTTGCTCGGCTTCCACGTCCTTCGACACAAACTCGATGTCCACGTCTCTGCTCGATGATCCCGGCAGAAGGATCCTACCGGCTGTCTCTTCCTCCTGTTTAGCGGTAGCTGACGCGGTTACGTACATTCCGTGCCTGGTCTCTTGAGCCTCGAGAACATCCGACGAGTCTTTCGCAGAGCCATCGAACGGTCTCGGCGTACGGTTTAGATTCCGCGATTCAATCTGTCGCTGGCTGAACATCTGCCGTCTTCTCGCTGCGAGGATGCTGCGAAGCGCTTGCTCCCTCTTCGCCTTCGACGACGGCAGCTCGGCCTGAAGGGACACCCGACCCTGACGATGATCGCCGATCGAGGACTCTGCAAGCAAACAGCAGTTTTTGACGAAATTATTCATCAGATTATCGTTTAGTGTGAACGACGTGTTTCTTTCCTTTGTTAAATTATTGAAATCACCACTGTTTTAGAATTTTCTTTCGAATCGAAGTTCGATCGAGAATATACTAGGATCACCTACAATTTTTCGTAAAATTGTCTAAACCGTAATTGTAACGAAGATATTGCAAACTTTGAGATTTTGAAACATATAGACAGGTATTGTTAATTTTAAATAAACTTTATTGACTTTTTTTCTTGATATTACTGATACTAATATTTGGCAATAATTGCATGACATATAAAATAATTAAAGAAAAACAAAGTTGTGGTATATTCGTTTGTTATTCAATCGAAAGTTATCGTGGAAGAAGAAAATCGATAGATTTTGAAATTTTATTACAAAAAAGGAAATACAATTCAGGTTGCTAAAAAAATTTGTAACGTTTATATGGCACGATGCTGCATCACAAAGCTTCAAGCGTTTTCAGTCTGGAAATTTTGATATCAGACATCACAGGAATTCTACAATGATGGGATCATGATTTTACCTCAAAAATGGCTAAAGGCACATATTTGGTTTAACAAACTTCATTTAAAATATGAAAAAAACTTGTTTCACTTTTGCACTAAAATACAATGCAAATATAATTTTACGTGATTTTGCGGGCGTAGCTGAAAAAATATGAAAGACCATTTCTTTTTTTCCTTGTGATTCGTAGATACTCAAAATTCCATTAACTCGATTAAATTCTTGAAAGTAATTTGCACGAGTATCCACGATCAATTCGTCACGTTCGGGATCGTACGAGATCAGTGTGATCTAACGGCGTACCAAACGGTGCTCGAATTTGACGCGTGATTTTAATCGGACCGTGACTCCGGGGAATTTCAACGGGCCACGAGGAAGGCGAAAAGAAGAAGCGAACGTTCGTTCGCCGGTGCGTGCCGAACCATGAAATAACGGTACAGGGTCCCGTGGAACCCTGCGCGGAGAAAAGACGCGAGAAAAAAGGAGAGAAATGAACAAAGTAACGACAAGTCCGGCCGGTCGTTCGCCGATCTTCAGCGAATGTTTCGTTCATTTCGGAACGCCGTTCCGTAAATTTCAATCTCATTCACGTTCTCTTCATTTAACTTCCCTCCCGTTTGCTCGATCGTTTGTAATTTGAATGGAATGTCGTGTAAATCGACCGATCGATAATTAACCTCTGAACGGACGATCTAAGTGGTCGATAGAAAGGTTGGGCCTACTTTTCGTGGGTATATTTCGTGAGAGGGAACGATTACGAGCGAGTCGAACACCGATGATGGAAACGATAGACTCGTTTCTGCCAATAATATATATATATATAAAACAGGGGAACCGATTTACGGACTAATTGACCGTGTTTCGTTTTCCGAGATCGCTGCTTGTTGAATCAAATCTAGGCTAATCGGAAGTTTGTATCGTGGCGAGAAAGATTGTTTTCGTGCCGACTGATCGATTTCGTGGATTACTTTTTGCCTGCATTTGTACGTGTACGTGTCTGGAAAAAAAGGAGAGAAAAGATGGAAAGGAATTCGTACTCGTGAGCACGGGCTCGTGTAACAATTATCCGTTTGACTGTTCCTCGGTGCATTGTTACGGATCCGTTTGCATTAGCTGGACTTTCTCTCCGCGAATAGTGCCGGAACGAGACGGAATTGCACGTCGGCGATTATGCCACCTTGTTATTCGGGGCTGATTATTCACATCGGGATCGACTGATGCTTCGTTCATAGCTCTGTGATTTTATGGAAATGTGAAGTCGCTTGGTAATAGCGGTATCTCCACTTACTTCTTATTACTAATGATAGACGTTTCCCTCTTTAAATAAGCTCATTCATTACATGTACAAAACATTTGTATTGAAATATTAAATACCTAAAAGTAATTGTTCCATCGCCTAAACATTTGATTTCGTTAATAAAACATTTTTGTCATTCTGGTACACTCTCCTAAGATCGAAAATTAAATTATACATATTATCGTATGTATATTTACCTAAACATTGAATATAATTTAATTAAACTTAATCAAACGACAAATTAAATTGTACATAATATGTACAAATATAATCATCATTGATCAGCAAATTATCTTAAATATTAATTGTTTAAATTGATTCATTTAGAGAACACTGTCTTGGACGTTAGGAGCAATTTTTCCTGCAGGGAGAACGTGAGTAGCGAAATAAGGTCGGCAGTTTTGTGAGAAAAGAATTTGACCGATCGAATACTCAAGGTCTTAGGTCGAGTTACTTCGTGCATGTAGACAAGAGGAGGACTTTCATCGTGATCGTGGATACAGCAGCAGGAGAAGGAGAAAGGATTTGATAATACCGTTAGTAGCATTGAAATACAGTACTCGTTTATCGTTCTTGAACTTCCGATCAGATATTGAGGAAGACTCTTGGGAGAAAGTTACCATTATTTCACATGTCATCGAGATCTATCGATGAAATTAAATTTCAATACGACGATAAACAACTGTACAGCACGAATTTCCATTCCTGTTTTATTTTTCATTGTAACTAATCAATTGAAAATAGAAGAAGGAATGTTTTAATGTTTTCGAAGAAATTAATTTATTTATGTTTCTGTGTCACTCTGTGCAGCGTTGACGAAGCTAACGGTGTCCCTCAGCATGAAGAAGGGATGCGGTTGAAGTCAAGTGTCAAGGTCCCGGGTCAAACCGCTTTATAAAGACAGACGCGAGGAGATCTCTATCTCGACTCGCGATACGACAAAAAGAAAAGAAGAAAGGGTGTGATAACACCGTAGCGGTATCTCAAGGTAATTACATGGTACCAGTTTCCTTATAAGCAAGCGCAAATAAAAGATATCGGAGAAGCGACTTGCCAACGAGCGACGACCAATCCCACCGGATTCGTGTCCATTTTTTCCGTCACGTTGATAATCTAAACTATTTCATCGGTCGGATTGCCTCGGGCATTATCAGGAATGCTGCGCAAAACAAACTACTAAGATGTATTAATTTATAGGTACAATTTCAAGACGATATAATTTTTATATCGTTTGGTAGAAAAAAAAAAAGGTACCTTAACAGAGGATGCCTCAGCTAAAGGAGGCCACCTAAATATCTCCTTCATTTTTTTGTGACATGTAGCACAGTTTGAATGAAGCAACACTCTGGAGAACAAATTTCTCTTGTCAGACCATTTTTTCTATGCTTTTTCAAGGTTAAAAAAAAAAAGATTTAAGTATACTTGACTCATGAGCTTCAGACGACCTTGAAAACTAATAATTTGACGAAATTACTGCGATGGTATGTGAACTTACTGCTTATGTTAATAAATACTCAAAGTGATGTTTATCTTCCAATTGATTAATATTTAGATCGATATTTTTATAAATTCATAATTTTATTAATTCATAATTTCTTTTCCTAAAAATGTATGTACATGTATATACATATACAGCATGCATGTATAAAATTGAAGATTTGCATAGAGTACCAAAGAAGTTTCCTTGATTCTTTAATAGCAAAATGATTAGCTACCAACCAATAGAATAATTAACACTATGGCAATTCATTAAATATTCAAGAATAAATAATAATAGAAGATATAGTTGCAAAAAAAAAATCAAGCAATATAGAACTAGTTGTATCGAATAAAATTACTCCTCTATACAAGATAAAAACTTGTCGTGTTTCTTCTGAGTTCAAGACAAAATGGAAAAAAATACTAACTCTTGATTCTCTTTATCAATCTCTCGATCAAATATCGACAGTCTCAATGAACACCAAAGTTGAATCGATCTTCTTATTAATCGTAAATACCTGTCGAAGTAATCTTTAGTATCTATCTCTTTTCTCATATGTTTCAGGCAATTAATAAGTAACAAATATTTACAAAAATTTACAAACGAAGGGAGAACGTCCGCGCGATTTCATAATTGATCGCGTGTAGCCGCGTCTTGGGCATATTCAACGCGGGATTTATTTACACGGCGTTACAAATCAGTAACGCTTTCGCAATTAAAGGTGGTCTGTAAATCAGTCGATCCGCCGGTTCTTCCGGCAATGTTCCAGACGCTGCGCGATAATTTACACTCTTCTTTCCCTTCCCCCCCTCCTCCCTCCCCCTCACCCCTGAACGCCTACTATAGGCGTGGATGGACAAAATTTTATCCGTGGGTCGCGAACACAGCGCGAGAAAATGACCGCATCAGATACTTACGTCTCCATGTGCACGCGCATAACTTATACGTTTACGACACGTGGAAAGCAGCTTCAAACGCGGGGCAGTCGCTTCCGTGGTAAATCATCAGTGACGGGGAAAACGGATGTCTCCGTACACGGTTAACACAGTTGTCTCGTTGTTTCCATCGTAGACCGTAAAATTATTCATTCATTTTCCACCTTGCTTTTCCACCTGTTGACTCAGGTTCTCTTTTCTCACCTAAGAATTAATTATTTCATATCGTGTGTTTTTCTTTCTAAATTTATTACCAAATTTCTCCAACTGCTTTCTTGCAAATGTCTTTCTTTCCATTAGATGAATTATTTCGCATTGGTGTTTCTGATGATGATGTGTCACATTTTTCTTTTGTTTCTCTGTTTCTATATTTGGATATTAAGATAATAGAAGACATAATAACATGCTTTAAAATTAGAACTCACTAATTTGATAAATTAGAGCAATCCTGAAATATAGACAATACTCAGGAAATGAACTCTACCAACAAAGATGCGATATTTCAATTGCTTGAAAGTCTCTGCACAGCTTCTCGCGGTACCCTTCAAGCAATAATTTGTCAATCTTCGACAAAAGAAACGTTCTATATAAGCCAAGTATGATTAACAACCCATCAACTTCAAACAACTCGTACTGTTGCCATAAGGTGCGTCGTAAACACAATATTTCACGAGACAAAAATTACAAACTGAAAAAGAAGCGATTCTACGTAAATGAACAATTAAAATTTTATACGAAAATAAAAACTGAATATTTTCCTCAGTAAGGAAACTGCGAAGACAGTTTTCGATCCTTTTATTGGAACGTTGCCATAGCGATCGATTATATCGAACATGTAGAACATAAATCAAAGATGATTCGAAATTAATGCGATACTAATACTCTGAAGAGGATATTCGTTTTTCCAAGGACTGATAAGAAAAGTAACGAGACACAACTGCACTTACGTTATACACACGTTCAACGATGAACGCCTGGGGGATCTCGGGTTCGTGGCTTTCTCACACGCGATGGTACATCGACGTCTTTTATCCTATCGTGCGGTTAATGGGCAATTCTCGTTTTGTTTCACCACGAAAAATGACCCCTTCTCCGGCTTCAGCCAGATGAATGGCTGCGCGAGCCCGAGGAATCGACTACCACGCGATTCCATCATTTTCGTATCCAACGTTCAATTTCGGTCGAGCGAAACTTGATAGTCGTAAAGCACATCGAAACTACATTTCATCGGTTTTTAATTAATTTATCTCGTCTCCTTTTTCTCTTCTTTTTTTTTTCACTCGACATTAGACGTGCAACGAAATAAGTAAAAATGTTTGATATCGTTTGCATCTTGGAAGCTTGTGTACCAGTCTTGAGACTTTGATTGATAAAGAACGACTCGATGTTTGATTGCTGCTGCTGCTGCAATCAAGGTAAGCAACAATGTCGAGGTTTGCAAAAACGTGTCTAAACGGATCGAGTAGGACCAGATATGACTGCATATGAGTGCAACATACATTTTGTGTTGCGCGGGATTGTGCAAACCGGTCGGTAATTTTCAGAACCGGATAGCCGAGGAAAAACTTTAAGTCGCAATTGCAACTTAATTGCAACTTAAACGAGTCTTGTTTGCTCGTTTTCTACGCGATATAGTTTGCTCACGTATCATGCTGCGAGGATCCTGAATAGTACTGAATCGTATCAAGCAGCCATTTATCAAACTGTGTTACAGAAAATAAGCACTTACATTATTTTATTGTTATGTATGTATGTAGCGATCAGAATTGAAAAAGTTCAAGATCTGTACGCGAGTGAGTAACAATTTTCGTTATGACAATACGTAACAAAGCGAAATTTACACATGATCGTATTACACAAAATGTTGTAGATAGAACGTAGATAGAACGTATATCAGATTATTTCCTATTTTAGAATAGTCTTAGAATACTAAATATCGCGGAAATCGAATAACTCTAGACTAAAAATTCTTCGTAACAAACAACACATCCCACAGAGCCCACAATTTTCAGAGTTCATCGAGTCCGACATCAGTCATCGTCGACGATATCTCCAGCCAATTCGCCAAATTATCTGGTGGTTCGAGAAGATCGAGGCAGAGATGAGCACCAAAACAACGGGTGTTATTCGATTCGAGGATCGAGCACAGTTTCCGCACGGGCGGAGCGGGGATTTTCGTTCGTTCGGCGCAGCCATAGTGGTTAAACGTGAGGCCCAACAACACACCGACCCCGGTCTTGGTCCTGCATGCCCGTGGTCCTGAATAATGCAGACCACCTATTATCCCTTCCGGAATCGCGAGTCATCATCTGACCTTCTGCACTGGCGCGCAAGAATCCGACGTTGCACGGAATTCTAGAGGGGTAGGGAGGGCCGATGGGTGTCCTTCCTTGTCCCGCCGGTGAAACCGGAGGAACCGAGCGAGTCGGGCGAGCGCACAGGCGAAAAGAAAAGAAAAAAAAAAAAAGAATTCACGGATAATAATAATGGCGGAGGGAGCAAAGGGTAGGCACTCGGTGGCGGAGCTGGCGTCGCGTAGAAGAAGGCACGAGAAGTCGTGGGTTATCGCCGCGAACGTGACCGCATAAAAGATCGTAATGTTTTATGTGAACACGTGTATAAGGAAGGTCAGTGCTGTTCCTTCTGTCCTTGTTTCCTTGATTCCAGCGCGGCTCTCTCCGCGGCTAGAACAGCCATTGTTCCGCGCGGAAAACAGCCATGTCGCCCGACGATGTAGCGATTACTGTTTCTTCATCGATCACGACGACTCGGCCTGGTCGGGACTCTTGTCCTCTCCAACGGATCGTATCTCGCGTCCCTCCCGCGGAACTGTATATTTACGAATTTCAGATACCACATGGATCTGACGATCGAGTTTTGCTGGCAGAAATATTGATGGATATTGAAAATTTTGACGAACATCGTGAGTGTAAGAGAAAAACGTTACCTTTGTCTTACGAATATGCGGATATTTTTCTCGTTGAAACCTTCGATCTATGAAACACTTTATCAGAATAATTACCTATAATTATTAAAGATGAATCGTTTCAATAAAAAAAAAAAAAAAAAAAA